TAATGAGCACCTTGGCGCGCCAAAATGACAACCTGCGCACAAATTGGATTACTTCATTCTCAATGCGGTCAGATAAGAGCAAACCAGCAGCAACAGCAGGAGCCGTAGCAGCAGCAGCAGCAGCAGCAGCCGCAGCAGCAACAACTGTGTCGGCTAAGATCAAGCGGGGCAGAAACGAGGCGCAAGAAAAAGAGGGAAAAACAAAAGCGATATAAATAAATAAATACAATTTTGCGGCCAGGCATTTGGCCGATTGATTTCTGCAGCACGAAAAATGGCCAACTGGCCAAAGGAGAGGGAGTAGCAGGAGCAGTAGGAGGAGCAGGAGTATGCCTCTCTTGGCCAACTCGAGCTGGTTCGCTTGCAGGCTCGCAAATTGCCGCATATTTGTTGAGTAATAAAGAAGACAAACAATAAAACGAGGATCCCAGGATGAAGTTTCTCGAGCGGCACAGCGCAACACTCGATGCTGTCTGGTTGGCTGCTCGACTTGCTGGCTGTCTGGCTAGCCGGCTGAAGGAGGCCTTCGAACATCTGTGCGGCGCACTCTCAATTGAAAAGCGTGAATAACAAACGTGAACGGGCCGCAAACGCGCAAATTGGCTAAGAAGTCAGTCAAGCGACGTCTTCGTTCAGCGAGATTTCAGTTTATGCGCAGACAGAGATTGTGTTCCCTCTAAATCATGATAGTTGCGCATTTGACCCAATGCTGACTAGGGAAACAACAAATTTGGCTCTTTTTCTGGCTTTGAAATCGAAAATATGGCAAGTTTTCTAGCTACCAAATCGAATATAGCTAGTTTTCTAGCTGAAGAGACAAATATACCTAGTTCTTTCTAGTAAAAAAGGCCAATCCCACTTATTTTCTAGCTGAAAAACATGCAAATTTGACACGCTATCTGGCTTCAAAGTTTATAGCAAATGGATAGAATCTTTTCTAGCTGCAAACTTTAAATATGGCTAGTTTTCTAGCCACAAACGCGAACAGGGCTAGTTTTCAAGCTAGAAAGAAAAATACGGCTAGATTTATTGACAGCAAAAGACAATCTCTGAAAAGCACAAACAAATAAAACAGAATCTGGTTAATATCTAGCTGGAAAATTGTAAACATAGCTTGTTACTAGCTACCATAGAAATCAGGTGTTTTCTAGCAAAAAGGACGCATCATTTTATCTAGAGTTTTAAATATTGTTTATTTGCATAGTTTAGAAGATAAAATGTAACAGAAAACTAAACTTTCCATAGACAATTTTCAGAAAAGGTATTAAGATATGCAGAGCATGATATTATGGTATTATTACAATTAAGTTAATCAGCTTTCTAATCATCTAACGAAAAAGAGACTTGCATCCCATCCAAACTGTGTCAGATGTTATTACATATTGCTCCAAAGTTCTATAGTTTCATAGTTTAATAGGTTTATAGTTCATTAGCTCCATAGCTGCATAGCTCCATAGTTGCAGGGCTTCATAGTTCCACAATTCCATAATTCCATAGAGTGGTAACTCAATTAGTTTCATAGTCGCTCTAAAGTAACAGAGTTACTCCACATAGCTCCACAGCTCCATAGTACTCAACAATTCCTTAAATAACTAACACAAAAAAAAAAAAAAACTGTGAATATTCTATATATAGTTATTTTCAATTATAAAACTTATCTGTATCAAAAAGCAGAGCTAAAGTAACGAATTATATTATATATGATATATATTATCGATAGAAATGATATAAATTATTTTCATATAATGCTGCACGCATGAGCTAACATTGAAATTGTGGACTATCTCTCTCTTTCTCTCTCTGCAATAGCTAGATATTGCACTCTCTCTCTCTCTCTCTCTCTCTCTCTCTCTCTCTCTGTCTCTCTCTCTCTCTCTCTCTATTGGTAAGTTAAGCAGAAAACAAATCTTTGCACTAAGCAGCCGCAGTCAAAGAGCCAAAAGAGCCAAACGTAGCAATGCTTAATTTACTGTTGGAGACTGTGGGAGAGGCGAGCGGAGGAGCGGAAGATGCAGCCGAGATGCGAAGATGCGAAGTTGGCGACTGAGACGGAGCGAGTGAGCTGCGGCTGCGACTGCGACTGCGAGAGGCTAGCTGGCTGGACTGGCAAAGCCATAAAATGCATTATTATGCTAAATGACTATAAAAATCACGTTTACAATCCATTTATGCCTGGGATAATAACCCATCTCTTTTGAACTGAGGCGCAAGGAAGAAGCTGCCCCATGGACCGCGGCGGCCTGGGCCGGGATCTGGACCTGGCACCGGAACGCAGTTGCAGTTGGACGTTGGCTCCAGTTCGAGAATTGAGAGTTAAGAGTCGAGTCGAGTCGAGTCGAGATGTTGGCTAAAAACCCTGAAAGGCAGCATTTGTTTACGCCGCGAATAATTGAGTTATCTGATCCCCTGCTAGCCACAAGACAGACACGAATGAGCTGCAACAGCTACAAACGAGACCTAGGCTAGGCACAGACTGGCAGGAGTAGGGGGGTCAGATAGAGTGAGAGGGGCAGGGGCAGGGGCAGGGGCAGGTGGTGGGCTGTTCGTTCGTGTTGCATGTTTGGCAGCAGGTAGGTGTGGCCGGGCTACGTAGCAAATTGCTGGGGCGCATTAGAAGGCAATGCCGCCCAGGAACCCCGCCCATCCCCCTGCACCCACCCGACATCTCCCTCCCTCTCCCTCACTGCCTCTCTGTCTCTATTAGCTGCCCTTAGCTGTGGCCTGGCACTTGGTAATGACTTTATTTGGTTGCTGCGTTAATGGGCCCGCAGTCGTTGCCTCTGCCGCTGCCGCTGCCGCTGTCGACGCAGGCAGCGCAAATTGAAAGCGCATTTCAAAATTTTTCACACCTGAAAATTGTTTCGTTTCAAGAAGGTTGACGGACGCTCTCGAAGCCAGCGGGACGGCGGTACAAGTGCAGCGAATTTCAACAAGCAGAGAGTGGGAGAGAAAGAAGGAGAGAGAGAGGGAGATAGAGCGAGAGACAAAAACACTTTTCACGTAGCGCCGACTGACCAAAAAGGTGCCGACCGGCGGCGGCTGCAATTAATCAAAATTTAATTTCAAATCGCAACGTCGACGTCGACGTTGACGTCGCTGAAGCAGCCGAAAAAATTGAAAAGGCTAAAGAGAAAACTGGCTAAAAAGAAAATGTAATTAATCACAAGGCGGTTGCAGTTGCATTTACCTTAACAGCTTGCCGATGTTGTTGTTGTTGTTTCTCTTGTTGTTGTTGTTTTCGTTGTTGTTGTGCGTCTTCGTCTCTCGCTGCTGGAATCGATCGATGGAAAAGCCACAAGAAAAGCAACAAAAGCCGCGGCATGCAAAGGCGCCCCCCATCTCTCAGGCATACCCCTACCCTGCCGCTACCCCCACTCCAACCACCACTTGTCTTTTATCTGGCTGACCATAGAAGACCGTTACAGTTTATTGTAAAACTTATGATAATATTGAAGCTCAGTGCACAAAGGCAATTAATTACATGCTAATGCTGGAATATAGATCTTTCATTTGTTTAAAATTAAGGTTTTTTAGCTCTGCGTAAGGCTAAGATGATTGACCAAAGGTGTGATCCAATGATGATTATAATAATATTATGCTAATTCCATTGATGGTTTTCTCCGCTGCATCAACCAATTCTATTTGTTATTTTACTTTCGAATAATGATTTAATGATCGTTAAGTATTATAAAATATACTTATATCATAATTTAACTAGTTCAATCAATTCAAGTCAATTTTGCCTTTTATTCTCAGTTTGAAAAAAAAAAAACGCTTTTCTGCAGGAAGTAAAGTTAAGCTGACTAATAGATGGCGCCACTTGCCACCGCATGATGTCAAAGTCGCATAGCAACTATTACAATAGATGGCGCTAAACAAAGTGAGCTAGCAATAGGTGGAGTACGTTAACAACTTTGGTGAATATAGGCAAAAAGTAAAATGACCATCCATTAATACTTGAGCCAATTCATTGGAGCACTGATATTAACTATGTTGGCAAAAGTCTTGGCATTATGTTAAGTCGTTCTCTAAACAAGAAAGTCATGTTAAGTAACAGTCTGTAAACTCGAAGCGTTGATTTTAGTAGTCCTCAAATGTATATGTATTGATCTTACACAAAATTTTACTCTCTCTAAATTATTTCTAGCAATGCGTCTATCCCATTCATTCAGTAAAAACAGAAGCGTAGCAACAATTTCGTTTAATTTTTATTATTAAAAATTTGTTATATTGCCTTTCCATTGCTCATGTTTCTTGCTTTCATTTCGCTGGTCTTTTTTGGTGTTTTTTTTTTCTTTTTTAATTTTTTTGTATTTTTTAAATGATGTCCTGCTTATTACATTTTAATGAACAATTAACACTATGCAACAGGGTTTAATTTTTAACAGAAAACAGAAAGAAAAACGTTTCGTATTCTCAAATGAAATTGCTAACTGAAAGGTTTTGCTATTTGTTATTTGTGGTGAGAAACTTTGTTGCACAGTGTAATTGAATGTGTTTATTGTATTCGCTGCATTGTTGTAAGTTCGAAGAAAAAGCATAAACCAAAAAACAACAGATTTAAATCGGATTGTTTTTGCATGTTTAAAATAAATATATACAAGGTGTAGTTCAATAAAATTAAAAACAAATAATATACAGTAGAAAAATATAAAGAGGAGATATACAGTAAGTAAATATATATATGATTGAATACTTATAGAACTGAGCTTTAAACATAAATAACGAATAAGTACAAAAAGGAAAACAAATATGGTTAACAATCAATTAAATAAATGTACATATTGCATTTGGAGCCCGCAATTGCTCAACTAAKTCATAATAATAAATATATATACTAATGATACAGATACATTAATCATTAGATTATCAATTACAATCAACATTATACAGATGTTTACATTGATCTATATAATAAATGACATACTTTCATATTTCTCGTTACATTTCGTTTCGTGTACTTTTCCTTCTGCTTTTCTTCTTTTTTCTTTTTTTTTTTTTTTGGGTCTTGCTGCACTCTGGGCACGATGCTGAGAGCGACACAAGCTTAGCAAATTAATTAATTAAGGCTACGAAAAACAGGGATACAAAACAATAAATTAAGAATCATAAATATACATATTAACATTGGTTCCGTTTGAGCAATTGTCGAGTATTTCATTTCATCCAAGTGTCAGACCTTAAATTCATCTCGCCTAACATTTTTACTTCAACTTGCTTCTAAGGTTTCAAATACAACAATGTCGCAACCCTTGTGGGTCATGTCTCAAGTTCCTAAACGATATTATTGCATTGAGCTTCGAGCACTTGAGCAAATTTACAGTTTGAATTTGTTTGAATCGGTAAGAAAGCATAGCTCTGAATAAACATCTTATGCCAAACTTATAAAAACAAATACATAGATATTTATATATATATTTAGATGTACGGGTGGCAACAGCTAAGAATCACAGCTAAAAGGCAAGCATTCAAGTTTTATACAATAATCTAGAAATCGAGAATTCAACGCGCTCGCCAAATTCATCGTGCTCAAAGTTTGCAGCTGGCTGTGTAAATTATTATTATTATTATTTGTTATCTATTATCGATTCTAGTTATGCATAAGTATATACATTGTTTGTGTGTTGCTGTTGTTGCTATTGATGTTGTTGTTGTTGTCGTTACTGTTGGTGTTTTGTTGTTCTTGTTTTACTTGACTACGCATAATCATATCAATTAATATATGTTTTGTTTTATGTTTTGTTTCGCTTTTGCTTTGTCATTAATTAGTTAATATTTATAGTATAGCACCGAGTACAAAAATGATCAATAAACAGAGTTTTGAATTTCTTCTTCTTCTTCCTTGCATCCTTTTATCAACAATTGTTTATGTTGCCATTGCTCTTATGTGTTTCGTGTTTTTAAATGCCTTCGCTCTTGCCTTGATTTTATCATTTACTTGTTTTGTTTGTTAAATTCTACTACTTATATAATGTAATAATTTCTGTTGCTTTCGCATTCGATCAATTTCTTTGCCGGCATTCGCCTTGCTTAATTTTACATAGAGCCATCGCCAGATATCTACAAAGACAGACAGTTTATTGACGGAATTATTCATATATGTATATACCTATGCCCACTCACCTGAGAGTGCGAACTGTCGCTCTCCACCTGCTCGGAGTAGCAATGCTTATAGTTAAGATAGTCTAGAAGTCTTCTTGGTAATGGCAATGTCTGTATTAGATCCTTTCGTATAACCGCCTTTAGTATAACAAATCTGTGCAAAGGACAACGAATCGCATTCAATGTGGGTTCATAAAAGCATTATTCAGAAATTCTCTGAACTGCCCCACTCACCTGCACATATGCTGCAAGCTTTGTACATGCTTAAACCTAGATACTGGATTGGTTAATTGCACACGCATTGGTCCATGCTCCGGCCGACGATGCAGAAAGAACAAATATCTGCAAGAAAATGCGGATTTATAGTTTGATATATTCTAGTTTGTGTTTCGGGTTGATCAAACGCACCTGCCGCTGCGCGAATGCTCGACTGCCTTCTCAATGAACTCGGTTATAGTTTGTGATTTGAACTTGGCGTACGAGCCAAACGAGAATGTGCCTGCAATGGAAACAGAGACAGACAATGAAAGAGAGAGAGACAGAGGGTGAGAGTGAGAGCGAGAGCGAGAGCGAGAGAGTCACTCATAATAAACTCAAACTTACCCTGATCCTGCTCGATGCGCACATGCCGCACGCAGTTGTTTAGCTTGAAGCTCAACGAGAATATATAATGATCATCGGAGCTGTCGCGCACTATGAACGAGCCGTCCGGCTCGTTGGAAAGTACCTTCTCGGCGGCCTCGCTGGACAGTGGACCCCAGTACCAGCCATACTGCAAAGGCGAACGATAAGTTAAATGAATCAAATTAAATAACGAGAATATGGAGTCAAGCTGGACGCAAACAATTCAAAGTGCTCCAGTCTAGTCGAGCTTGACTTGGGCCTTATATCCCTAACGCTAACGGTGTACAAGGCAAAATAGAGAACGGAGTCAAATTATCCATCTAAATTATAGCTCTAGCCCATTTTATAGCGATTATCGATTCACTCTAGTGTCTAGCTCTTATATATTCTGCGATCGACGTGTTCATGCATTCTGACGGACGGACAGGCGGAAGGAGCTATATCGATTCAGCTCCTCTCGCGAGAAAGGAACAACAATTGGCGAGGAGGAACAAATAAAAGAAAGTTAACATTTGACAAGAGAATTAAAGGGCTGTAAAGCGAAACATATCAACGATATCGATTGGGATGGATCACATACGTCTTTGACTTTCTCAATGCTTGAGGTAAACTGCAGTGCACGCGGCTCTTGCGCTCCGGCGCTCTTCTTCTGCTCCTCCGGCTCCGCTTCGGCGGCATCAATGGCATAAGCTGCAAAGAGTGCATCAGAGGATTAAAGTGACTCCAATCACTCCATAGAAGATGCCAGCTCACCTTTTCGTGGCAGCGGCGGCAAAGCGCGCGATTGAAACTTTTTGCGTAGATCGGCGCTGGGCTCGCTGCGGCTGAGACACTGATTATTAGCCTCCTCCGCATCGGCGGCGTCTGTCGTGGACGCTGTGGCACTGACAGCGGCAGCTGTGGCAGTGGCGGCACCCGCTGAGGCGGCTGCTGCTGCCGCCACTGACGCATTGGAGCTCCGACAACGACTGTGATTGCTGCGCCGAAAGCGAAAGATGCTGCAGAACTTTTGCTTCAGATTCAGCGAGAACTGCGACTTCTTCTCCGACTGCAGCAGATGCTTGTTGTTGTTCGGCTGCTGCTGCTCGGCCAGCAGCTTCTCTGAGGAGTTGGGCAGCTGCGTGGTGCTGCCAGCGGCTGCTGCTGCTGCTGCTGCCGCCGACGGTAGCTGCTGCTGCTGTGCGTAATTGTTGCTGCTGCTGTTGTTGTTGTTGTTGTTGTTCAGCTTATCATTGTCGATGTTGTGCTTGCTCTGCTTGCTCAGATACTTGGCGGTGGTGTCGCTGCTCGCGGCACCGCCGCCGCTCGCCCGCGTGGTGCCCGCACTGCTGCGCGTGCGCGCCGTCGTCGTCGTTGTGTTCGTCGTGTTGGTGGTGTTCGTCGACATGCTCCAGATGGTCTCGTTGCTCGACTTGACGCCCAGCGCTTTGCTGCCGACGCCAGCTGCGGCAGTGCCGAGCATTTTATTGCCAGCTGCACCACTCGCACCACACCACGAGGACTTGCCCGCGTCCGAGTACAGCGTGTGATAGAACTGCTTCACCTCGTCGAGCGTCATGTGCAGCGGCTCCGCCTCGCCACTCTGCACCACCGGCGTGCGATATTTGCCATGCTTGCCCGTCTTGTCGCCGCCATCGTCGCTGGTCTCCACCACCGTAGTCGACCCCGCTGCCGCCGCCGCTGCTGCTGCTGCAGCTGCCGCCGCGTAGCGCTGCTTGCGCTTGTTCCGCTTGTTGCGCCTGCTCGAGGCCTTGTGGTACGCCACGCTCTGCTGCGGTTTTTCCAGCGGCTGCTGCTGCTTCTCCAGTTGCTGCTGCTCGAGCTGCTGCTTCTCCAGCTGCTGCTCGATCATGTCGACGGGAAAGGCATAGATGTCCGAGTCGATGGGCACGTTGTAGAAGTCGGAGATCTCGCGCGTGAACAGCGCATCGTGCGACATCGCCTGCGTTATGAAGATCGAGTCGTCCGGCTTGTTCGCCGACGACACGTTCAGCGAGTTGTGCGAGCTGCTAAGCCGGCTGTTCAGCGAGTTGCGCGAGTTCGGCCGCTGGCCGTGGTGCTGCTGGTGATGATGGTGGCCGTGATGGTGGTGGTGGTGGTGCGAGTGGTAGTGACAGTGGCTTGTGTGGCCCAGCGGGCTGTACAGCAGCTGCCGCCGCTGCAGACTGCTGCTGCCGTTGTCCCCCGGCGGCTGCAGCGCCGCGGACTGCCTGCCGCGCGCCCCGTAGTACAGATCGTAGTCGTGTATTTCGGAGAGGCCGGCGCTGTTGAAGCGCTGCTGGGCCACAGCCGCAGCCGCTGCCGCCGCCGCCTTCGCGCTGGCAATGCTGTCCTGCTCCGTGGGAATGGCCTTGAAGTAGCGCGTGTGATCCTGGTAGTAGGGGCACAGCGTCTGCTTGATTTTGATTATCGAGACGGGCGGCGGTGGCGATGGCAGCGAGGGCGAGCAGCTGCTCTGCTCCGAGGCCGCCTCGACATCGTCGTCGTCCGCATCMGCATCAGCATCATCCTCATCATTGTCGTTCTCATCGTCCTCGTCGTCGTCGAGCAGATCGATGCTGTTGCCCAGCGAGCTGCTTATGATATTATTTGGTTCGTCGTATATGTTGTCCGTGTGGCTGTTCAGTATGGAGTCGCTCGAGTAGAGGTGCTTGTTGATGGCATACGACTCCTTGAGCGTGCGCTCCTGGCACAGCGCAGCGCACTGCTGGCTCGAGTGGCTGGCCGCAACAGCAGCAGCAGCAGCCGCCGCCGCCGCTGCCGCTGCGGCAGCAGAGGTCGCATCGCTGCCGGACAGCTTGCAGCTGCTGCTGCTGCTGGTGCTGGTGCCGCTGACATCCAGCGCCGGTTTGGCCAGCAGCAGGACCAGCTCCTGGTTGGCACCTGTGGCCCCGCTGGCCACCGCAGCGCTGACCATGGTCACGTCGTCCTTGAGATGCTCGAACGACGACTGCGACGAGGTCCAGCGGCGCAGGCTGTTCACAATGTTCTTCGAGATGGAGCGCACGAGCGTCGTTTGCGGCGAGTCCTGGAACTCGGGCGGCGGATCGATTGGCGCCAGCGGCCCCTTCTTAAGCGTATTGAAGTTCTCCGCGCTCATGCCGCCCTCCGAGCAGTTGTCCAGCGAATCGAACTGCGACACCTCGCCGTCGCTCTCCACCATCTGCAAGCGAAACGAAACGGTTAATTGAGAGGCGGTAGCTGGGCCCGCAGGCAGCTCATGGCGCACTCACCTCGATCTCGAACTTGCACATGCCAATGCGATACGAGTCGCCGCTGGATATGGAGCTGTTGGTGGTCAATGGGACGCCGCTGTCATCGCTCAGCGAGGCGGCCGCATTCAGCTCGATGCTGTTCGCGCTGACCAGCTCGTGGTCGCGCGTCGTTGCGGGCGGTGGCATCATGCTGCTAAAGCTGTCGCTGCTGCAAATGCTAACGGTCACGCCACCACCGTTGCCGGTGACTCCGGAGTTGGTGGTGCAGTTGCTGTTCCCATTGCACAGTTGGCTCTGATTGAGGCTCTGATTTGGATTACCGTTCGAGTTGTTGCACTCCTTAAGCTTAATGGACGATTCCATGTTCAGTATGTGTGTGTGTGCTGTGTGTGGGTGAGTGTGTGTGTGTGTGTGTGTGTGTGCTGCAAGGTAGAGGTAGAGTAAATTAGTTAATTAATTGACTGATCGATTGATTGCTTTGAGCCGAGCCAAAAGAGAACACAAACGTTTCATCTGATTCGCTCTTCGTGTGACTCAAATGCAAATTGCAATTAAATCTGATTAAGAGTTGATGCTCTCCGCTTTTCTTCAGTCTGCTTGTGCTATTTATAATAGGAAAAGTAATTGAATTCAAATCGTATGGCTATATTTTCTGTTCTCTAATAAGTCTGACGAACACTTCAGTCTGCGTTTGCTTAGCTCAATGCAAAAACTACTCAAGCAGCCTTTCACATTCGGCACACACACACTTGCCGGCTCTCGATTGAGCGCTGTCAATCATCAGATTGATTGATTGATRAATTGATTGGCTTCGTCCACAAATCAAAGCTGGAGCAATTTTCGGTTTCACTCCGGGCTCATTCGTTCATTCATTATGATAACGCTGCCTCGGCTAGCGGCTCGCACTACATGTCTTTTCAATGTATTGCCAATTAACGCTTGATGAATTGATAAATTGATTAATTGATGACACACATCGCACAGCGCGCCGCACACATCATATGACCTTTGGGTGCGGCGTCGTTGCTGCCGCTGCTGCTGCACAACAACGAATGCTGCACCGAATTGAAGGTCAATGACAGTTGCGTGCGCCCAGCCACCCACCCAACCGGCCGCGCCTCCCCCTCTGCCAAAGCATTTCGCACAGCATTCGCTTGTGCGCAGAAATTGTTGTCAATTTAGTAGTAGATTTTGGGCGTAGATATTCGCTACGTTTTTTCTCCATTTCTGGCAGTTTGAAAAGGCACACACACACATATATATATACTAACACAATGCTAAAGCCTTTGAGTGCGTAAAATATTGCGTTGTGTGTAGTACACACATACACAAGCGCATACATATATGTATATATATATA